GTGCAAGTGTGATATTTCAAGTGTGATATTTCAATATCACAGGGGCGATTTTAACAAAACTGGGTTTAGAACAAAATGAAAGCAAAAATAACACAATTCGACAACACACAGTTAAAAGACGTGCATCTTGACAATGTAACTCAGAGCTGTGTCTGAAGCTGGAAAGTCCATGTCAATGCTCCGGACACACAAAAGCCTTGAACATGGAAAACAAATGTGACACCATTTGACAAAATGAGCCACTTCTCAGATTTGAGCCCTCTAGAAAAAGGAACACCATGCTTATTATAGGTGAAGTTTGTACAATTTATAAGTGTATAAAACAATAAAAGGCATGTTATACTTAAAGAATATGGCATCAATAGAAAATCTACAAATTTGACCCTAGTTTCGTTTTTGGTCAATATCTCCTTTAGTGGATTGCGAGAAGTTGCTCATTTTGTCAGCACAGCTCACAAATACCATATCTTGACACATCCTCACGAGCAAAGTAAAGAAAGCTAAGAACAAACCTCAAAACTTATTTATCTCTGATCAGAGGTTCAGAGAGAATTATTTCCAAATAATAATATAATATGTTTTTTGATCACATTGTAGACTCTTTTGTTTTCACCCTAGTGCACTAGTCTAATTTTTTTGTTGTCTGAGACATAGCCCTTGTCACTGTTGTTCAGTAAGAATTGGAAGCTCTGACTCAACAACTTTCTTTGGAGCTCAGAAAGTGAGAGAAAAGAATCATCGATTTCTCAAAACTGTTGTGAATAAGAAAAAGGCGTTTTGTCAGCGCAGGGCAGAAGTCATCTAGTGCTGGGAAAAAGTAAGACACATAGAGAGAAACAACAGCAGGAAAGATAAGAAGTAGAAACCGCCAGCTGCACCCTCAAACCCACCCATCCCACAAGGGGGCAAGCACTGGTGCTCAGGTGGAGAGTTTGAGGAGGTGAGGCAGAATGAATGGATTATTACATTGTATACCATCACAACAGATGGAAAGTGAGGAAAGGTCATGTATTTACTAATGTCCTGTCTTGTGTGTATGCGTGAGTGCACCTATCCTTTGCAATATATATAACATCCACTGCAATTGTAAACAATCAAGACAAGTTTCTCCCTGTGAGATGAATAAAGATTGTCATTGTTATTGTCGAAATGGAATACAATGGAAGCTGACAACAGGTTATAAAAAGCAACTGAAAGTGAAAGTAATAGACAATGGCAGAAGATGATGACTTGAGTTTGAGTAAAGAGAAGCACATTGACATGGTCATTTAGTGCTGGGAAAAAGTAAGACAGACAGAAACAACAGAGAGAAAGTAAAGAAATAGGACCTACCAGCGGCGCCCTCCAACCACCCACAAAGTGATGACCAGGACTACACTACAGAAAAAACAGGCATTGTCACAGAAAAGGGGGAGGATTCTAACTCTTGTCAGACATTGTAGTTTGTTGAGCTGTGAACTGTTGTGAATGCAGTCAACTGGTGTTTCGCAGGCTCAAATGGCCTTATGCAGTTGCAAGCACCATAAAACTCTTACTAAACACGTAAACGTTAATGGCAAAATGTGCTACAGATGTTGATCTGTCACTTGTTAAACAGCAATGAAGCAAGAACAAATAGTAAGAGTAAGAGACACCAAAAAATATGTTTTCAAAAACAGAGGCCCATTATCATAGAGTATTCTAACATTCCATTTTATTTCATTGCATCCATTCATTTCACATCTCAAGCAACAGATCATATGGTGGGAAATGTCAGTGAATGTACATAATAATTTACACTTCTTAACCTATTTCTTCACAAACAAATACATGTATCAATATATTCTGAGAAGGTACACCCTAAAGGGGAAGGCTTTTGCTATAGTGAAAGAGAGGGAGAGACAGACAAACAAACAGGCAGAGACAGAGAGAAGGAGACAGAAAGATTCAAAAAGTAAAGATGGAACAATGGTGGGAAGAAATCACCAATTACAAAGCAGATGGTCTGTACAGAACAATCAATCAACAGTCGCTACTCTTACAATGGAATGTCAGGAGTGGTCAACAGGAGAAACTTGACTTTGTATTATTTTATTATTTGTTAGAGTAAAGAGAAGCACATCAACGCAGCAACGGTCGTTTGGTGCTGGGAAAAGGCAAGGCAGACAGGCAGATGGAAACAACACAGGGAAAGAAAAGGAGGAGGGCCTACCAGTGGTGTCGTTCAACCACCCACCAAATGACTTTGTGATACACCAACTGATCAATCACATCCGCAGGCAGGGCAGGTTAATAATATACACAGCACAGCAAGCAACTGGGATGGGTCCACACAGCTAGTATAGGAATGACAAAACTGCAGGAGAGGGCAATGAGCACATACAGAACAATGTCCAGCACGTGTGCCAAGACAGTTTTAGTTTTAGTAAGTGTTTTACGACACTTGCAACACAATAAGGTCACATAAGTGCCGAAGATTAGAGGTGTAACAAGGGAGTAACAAACACACAAAAAAAGGAGGGGAGATAAAGACGATAGTTGTTTGAGAGGAAAGACAGAAGCTGAAACTGAAGACATGGAAAGGATCGCTGTCGCTAGCCGAGAAGATGAACAGCAGTCATTGTGCCACGACTCTCAAAGAATCATGCAGACTCCATGAGTCAGACCTACCAGTTTACCAGTGGCATCTGTATCCACTAACCTCCTGCATGTCCTTTCAGGGTAAGCTCACATCTACACTTGATACAGAGCATTATGTCCCACAACAGTACAAAAGGGATGACATTTATGAACCTCAGGCTCAGCACAAAAACGCCTGACACCAATAATATATGTTAAGCATGCCTCTATAACAGACTTTCTCGCAAAATAAATTTGTTAAAACAACTCCAGTGTCCATGTTAACAACATAGTAACAGTAATAGGCGAAATATAAAGAAAAGGCACGCACAAATCTCATAGTACAATCACTTCATGCATGATCTCCTCGCTCAGAAATACACCATCAATTCCAGACACAAAAAGAATGCTGAATATAATTATAATTTAATGCAATACCATCAACGTGATACCATATAACAGCCTATGCCATTTATCAATGTTTTGTACTATTTTAAACAACTTCCTTAAACCCTGGCCTGCTCTGTGGGCGTTCCCAATTCCCTCCTGTGTGCATTGTGGGCGTACCTGGTACTCCTGAAAAAAAATCCCAAAATTGTTTCGTACATATCTTCGCTTCTAGTTTTGAATAACAAGAGTTACATCCCTGCATTATCTGTCCACTTGCAGATGAAATCATGTTCATTTTTAGGCGGTTAGTCCCGGGATTCCCATGAGGTAGCTAAAACAAAGAGACACGGTGTGTAGTAAACTGTGCGCGAATGACGAAGTCAGTCTGCCTCTCTGAGGTTTTTGTGAGCACTCTACATTCGCCACGATGGCTTTGCAGAGGTTGACTAGGTCTACGGATCAGGTTATTGCAGAAATTTATCAAGATGCAGACAGTGATGACAAAGATTTCAATTCATCTGAAAAAAGTTTTTTGTCATAGATCTAATCTCCAAGATGACAAGGACCTCGAACATGGAGATGGAATTTTTAAAAGTCTAACATTCACCTGCCAAATTCTTCTACAGAATAGTTATACCTAAAAATTATGAACACCAATGGATTTTAGGTTCATTTCTCTTTTATTTGATATTCACTTTGCTATATCTAGCCTTTATTAGTAAGCGAGCTATAGCCATTCAAAAAGGAGATTGTGTCATACACAGCCACTGGGGAAATTTCCTTAGCAAACGCGGAGGGCTTATGGCTATCAGTCAAGGGGTTAATTTCATGTCTTTTATTGACTCGAGCTGTAGTATTGATTTTTTAAAACTAATCTTGGAAATATGTTACCACTGTTTTATGATGTGGTGATAGGTAATTGTAAAAGGAATGCCATTCTGGGTCGGTTTGACTTGGGTCTTCATCTGACTGTGGCCACTCTCATAGCACGTTGGTGATAAAAAAACAAAGAGTTCAGCAGAATACAATAGGAAAAGCATCACACAAAATTGAAAAGCATAGTACTACATCGAAACAAAATACTAAATAAAAATATCATTGAACCCCAACATTTAAAAAAAATTATACACTTGAACTTTGCGAAAACATTTATACAGAAAAAAACTACAGCAGTAAGGAGGAAGTAAAACTGAGTGCTCATTGAATCTTTTCATTCTTTCTTTTTCTCTCTTTCCACGAGGGAAGGGTGAGAAAGAGCAAAATAAAACAGTCGATCAAGAGCAAATATATTTATTATACACTCTTAAAAAGTACAGTCAAACCTACTCTAACAGCCACTTTATTAACTTTATTAAGACAATCAACTGTACAAACTGCCACTCCCTACTCTCCCCCGCCCCCGCCCCCCCTCAAGTTTTTTTTTCTATATATGTGTCGTGACACAGTGGAATCAGGCGCTCGTCAATTTCTGAGCATGGGGAATTATGGTATCATCTGACGGCGAGCGCCGTAAAACCCATACTACATACATACTGAAAGCTGATTTATTTGCCTTGCTTGCAATGAAATAGATATCCATCTATCTTGAATAGAACTCGAGATATTGCGATTGAAGGAAGCAGGTAACCTGGTTTCAGTGGTGAATTAAGCGAGAAAATGGCCGCCAAAGTTTGGTACCGGTAACTCTAATAGCTAAAGAGTCCTTGAAAACAGAAAAACGACATATTTTGAGCATTTAATCAATAATTTTCAGTAACATTCACAAGAAAATGTGTTTTTATACAGACATACAAGAGGTTGACGGCTGAGCCAAAAATAACAATTCGATAAAAATGTTCAAACTGGCGGGAAAAAGCCAGTCTCTCCGATTTCTGTATTTTGAAGAGCACCTGATTTCCCCACGCTGCCTTACATAGGCCTGTATCATAATGAGGCCATCCAAGATGTCCACCTGTCTAAGACAGCCACTTTTTCCTTTATATGGGTGCCTGTACTTGACAATTTCAACTGGGTTATTTTTTTTTATCTAATTTTTTTTTCTCTTTTCACTGCACTTGGCACCTTACAAATTCTGAGCAAAAAAAATCGGGATGTTTTCAGTGCAAGAAATAGCATGCGACGAACAATTTCCTCTATTTTAACCCTTTCCTGTTCAAGCCGGCCAATACAAGCCCAGAAAAAATGTTCAATCCAGCCACATGCCTTGTTGCTCAAGTGATACTTCCTCAATGGTGAATTTGACTATGATCAATTACACATCACTGACGTTAAACTGCAGCCTTGTTACTATTTCTAGAATGAAAAGTACATCAGAATTTACTTTTACTTGTAGTAAACGCAAGAAATATGAACACTTTAAGGATGTTTAGTGCACAAGAAACTGAACAAATGGGTGGCCACTGTTGGCAAAGAATGTGAGCAGAGAATTTGTTGAAACTTTTTTGGGGGGTTGCATGTCCCCTTCTTGAGTGCCAATCCACATCATAACATCATACAACCATTGACTATGAACAGGAAATGGTTAATTAAAAGAAAAAATCTTTTTAACATTGAAGTCAAGCCCAATTTTAATTTCTTGATATGGATGTACATTAATTACTTCAGTTTTTTAATTTTTTGTTTTAGTGCAGTTACACACTATTCGTGCAAACAAAATCAATAATAAAAGGCACCATAAAATAAAAACCACATAACAAACATTTTTCACTCATCCTTTAAAATAGACATCTTTGGTGAGCATTGAAGTGATACATGGGATCTGTTTTTTCCGATTCATGAATTCCTTGCTGGCGTTGGATGGGAAGTCATAAGCCACTTTCTTGTTGACCCTAGTCATCATGGAGAGGACATCCATTTTCTCCCAGTGCTCCGAGAATACGTCGTAGATGGCCTGAACAAACCATGAACCACGGCTTGAGTTTCTCCACGCAAAATATCCTGTTCAAAAGGAATGAGACAAATTCTTATTTTGAACTTCACACACTTTTCGAAACACAACATCCAGTAGTTGCGGTTGCGTAAAACACACTTAAAAAAACATAACTTTCTCACACAGAAAAGGAGCAGGCAAGATAACTTAGGCTTCAATAATAGCGACAATTATAAAGTAAGAAACCCTAAGAAAACATAACATCACAACTGAAAGAGCTGTGGAGCTGGCCTACCAAAGAAAACTGCATCTCCCCTCGACGCTTTACGGCAACAGAGGATGAAAAAGTAAAAAGTCAGTAAGTATAAAGTAAGAAGAAGGACAGGACTATCAAAGGGACTCCTAATGAAGTAGGCAAAGAAAAAGAAAATGGTAGATACTTTCGCATGCATGAAAAAATGTGGAGTAGTTGGCTTAAACTGTAGATCAGAGTCAGTCTTTTGTTTTCAGAACTGGCAACAGAACTTTATAATTTCATCAAATAAATTGTCTAAGCTACAAGTAGTACAAGCTGTGTTGAAGAAGGGTATTTGCTTGAAACATCAAATGCAAGCGAAATTGTCCAAGGCAGCCATCCATGCTCGTGAAGAAAAATAGTTGTGGTAGACAGGTCAACATCATCTTGGACAGTGTTCTTATTCACCTTCACCTATCCCATAGACTGGATGTCAATCGAGGCGCTTCTGAAGAGTTGGCCACCAGCTTCCTCCACTCCTTCCGGTCTTCAGCTTTCCTGAGCGTGTCTTTGAATTCCAGGCCTGTCCATTCCTTGATGTTGTTCTCCCAACTTTTCTTCGGTCTGCTTCTGCTCCTTTTTCCCTGGACGCTGCCTTGCAGGATCATCTTGGCAAGGCTGGATGAACAGGTGATGTGTTCATACCATTGCATTTTGTGTTTCCTGACCAAAGTGAGAAGGTCAGAATATGGACCAATTTCATTTTTGATCCGTTGTTTAACTTAATCATTTGTGATGTGATCTTTGTACGAGATACCAAGGATTTTTAGGAAAAATCTCATCTCCACAGCTATGATCCTTCTTTCAAGGTTGGCATTCAAGGTCCAGGATTCACATGCATACAAAAATACTGACATGACCAAGGAATACATCAGTCTGATCTTTGATCTGACGGTGATATTTCTGTCATTCCAGATGGTTTTCAACTTGGTCATTGTGGCTGAAGTACGCACTATTCAGGAGATTATTTCTCGCTTTGATCCTTCATCAGTCACTATTGCACTCCGGTATTTGAAGCAGCTGCGTACGGTCTCAAGCCTCAGGTTGTTGACCTGGATGTCCACTGTGATGTTCCTGTAGCTGTTAGACATCAGTTTGGTCTTCTCAGTGTTGATTTACATGCTGTAGGCTGCGGAGGTCTTTTCAAGACGGTCTACCAAGCTGACCAATTCTTGCTCTTGTCCCGCAAGGCTGTCTATGTCGTCTGCAAAACGTAAGTTATTAATCGTTTTGCCCCCACTGACTGTTCCTTCGTGATCTCCAAGAACATCTGTCATGATCTTCCCCAAGAAAATGTTAAAAAGAGTAGGTGAGAGCAGATAACACTGGCGCACTTCCACTGTTGTTTGGAACCATTCCCCAAAGTTGTTGAAAAAGACTGCGCTCGTAGCTTTGAAGTACAGCTTTTCTATGACTTTGATCAGGTTGGTGTTGATATTGTATAAGTTCATGGTTGCCCACAAAGCTTCCTGCCATACTCTCTCAAAAGCTTTTTTGAAGTCCACAAATACTTGGAGAAGCTCCTGCAGGTGATGGAAGTACTTTTCCATGATGATTCTCAGGTTGAATATTTGTTCAGCAGAGCTGCGCCCTGTCCTGAAGCCTGCCTGTTCTTTTGCTATGATTTTCTCTGTATGTGGTTTCAGTCTGTTGAGAATGACTTTAAGCATTACTTTACTAGGATGGCTAATCAGGCTAACAGTCAAGATAGTTTTGGCATTGTTGAAAATTGCCTTTCTTGGGAAGGGCGATGATCAAGGATTGAGTCCATTGGGTTGGCCATTCGCCTGTCTGCCAGATCTTGTTGCAGATTATCCATAGCAAGTCTATCACAGAGTCTCCACCTGCTTGGACTATTTCTGCTGTGATGTTGTCTATTCCAACTGATTTCCCTTTCTTCCGTGATGAGACTGCTGCTACTATCTCTTCTCTTAAGATATTGCTTTTGTTATTATCTTGTGATTGGGAGACATTGAGCACTCTTGGATCTCCTGTGGTTTTGTGGGAGTACAGTTCAGAGCAATATTCTGTCCACCGGTTCTGAACTTCTTGTTCCTCCGTTAGACATTTCCTTTCTTTACTTTGTATTGAAGTGGTCCACCCTAGTTTGGTACTTGTGAGATCTTTGATGATAGGTAAGCCTTTTTACTGTTGTTTTGATTCAAGCTGTCTTCTATTTTTTATTTCTTCACACTATTCTTCAATCCACTTCTCCTTAGCTCCTCTCATTCCCCTTTTCACGTGCAGATTCGTCTCTGTATTCTTTTGCACCTTCTGGTTCCCTTTTCTTGTTCTCACATAGGTCAAGGATGTCATCTGTGACCCAGGGCTTCTTTTCACGCAATGTTTCCACAGGAGCTGATTTTCTGTTTCTGTCATGACGGTGTTGAAAGTGTTTGTAAGGGAGTCAACTTCTGTATCATCTTGATTTAGCGCTAGGAGTGGAGCAAACTTTCCTCCTAAGTTAGTTTGAAAATATTTTTATATGGTTGGGTCTTTGAGTCTTTCAAGGTTGAACTTGATCTGGGTGATTCCTTGTTTCCTGCACTTTTTAAGACGAAGTGAGAATGTCATTATGACAAGGTTGTGATCATTGCCAACGTCTGCTCCTGGAAAACTTCTGGTCTTGGCAATGTTGACACTGCTTTGAAAGCGACGCTTGCCCATGATGTAGTCTATCTGATGTAACGTAAATCTCCACTTGGGCAGCACCACGTCCATCTCCTTGATGCCTTATGTATTGGTGTTGGTATTGCAGTAGGGTCCGCAGCTTCCTTCCCAGTCTTTCGCTCCATCTTCCCCAATCTTAGAATTTTAGTGGCCTTGTACCACCTATCCTTTTTTGGTGTTTCGCCCAGTACTTCTTGGAGTAGGAAGAAGAATTCCTCCACTTCTTCATCATCATGTTCTGCTGTTAGTGCATATGCTTGAATGACAGTGATATTGAATGGTGATGCTTTCAAGTGTATGGCGATGAGTCGACAGGAAACTAGTCGGCAACCCTGAACGGCATTCAGTTTTTTATGAATGAATATTCCAACTCCATATTCATGGCGGTCTTCTCAGCCACTGTAGTATAGTTTATGCCTTTCGGGGTTTCATGTTTCTCCGAAGTTCTTTTTTTATTTCATTGGGCACCAGTTAGTCTCACCTGGAACAACAGAATAAGCCATGAGAACAAAAAGGTCTCACCTGGAACATCACAATAAGCCATGAGAACATAAAAGTCTCACCTGGAACAACAGAATAAGCCATGAGGAAATCAGCTTCCGTTGGGATCCTCCGCATGACCACCTCCTCCTCCATGCTTTCCTCCTCATCCGGAGCGGCGTCGCTCACCTCTACCCCAGAATCCAGGTCAGTTCCTCGACAAGCCTGCCAAGAGGACAGTACAGTGCACTATTGAGAAGGGGGCAAAGGAGGTGAGGGGGTGGGGGCAGAAAGAGGAGACAAAGGCAGACGACAGAACATTGCTAGAGAGCAAGAAAGGAGATGAAAGGAGATCACTGTAGAGAAGAAAATTTTTCGGTCGCTATCCGTATTCGAACCTGGGACCTTTGAATGAGAGGTCAACACCTTAACTCTAGGCCACGAGAGCTCCCCCCCCTCCCTTTTATCTCTGCATAGAGCGTTAAATCATCCCGTCTGACAGGCAGCCACTTGTCATTTTCAAAGGTACTGTTAATGCCGCACACTACTTCTTGGTACCAAAATCTACAAATGAATGATTTTTTCCCGTTTTTCTCTCATTTTTTACAAAGTATTCCATTCAAATATAAAAAAATATATTCAGTTTTGAGAATCATTCTCAGTTAAGTAATCATTAAAATTGCAAATATCAGAGCGAAACTACGTAATCTGAAGGATCATTTTCAAAACTAAAAATCCCCAAACTACCCATGCTGTCTATGAAATAATTACACATGTGTCATGACGTGGTGGAATCACGTGTTCATTAATTTTTGAGCATATGGAGTATAAAAATTGCCACACCAGAAGAAAAATGCCAGTTTCTTCGATTTCAGTATTTTGACGAGCGCCTGAATTTGACCACGATGCCTCACGTATTAATAATCAGTATACAGATACTAAGAAAATAACACTAGCTTTTCTTGAAATTGTATATAAGTAGTTTTATCACTTTTAAAGGACTAGCATATTAGATAGAAAATAGAAGAAATAGTCAAAATTACAACCCAAAAAAATAATGAAAAACATAAAAAAAGCTAGAGTCACTTTATTTGAAATGACAAGTAGCACTTACCCTCTAAATTTCACGTCTTTACGTTTGATGTCATTTTTTTAATTTTTAGCTTTTAAAATCATTAAATGAGCATTTAGAGAAAATGTGCAAAGCATTTAAAATTTCAATAAAGCATTGGCTAACAATTAAATGAAACAGACTTTATGGAGCTATGAAACAGACTTTATGGAGCTATCTCTTTGAAATAGGAAGTATTTCCATTTGATTCAGCATATAATTTGTTAAGGGAAGTTTCTTAAAACACTTAAACATTGTCAGGCCCCAAACTGGACCCCAAAAACCCATGCGTGGTCTCAATATTAACCCATGCGTGGTCTCAATATTTACCCACACTAGAGTGGCTTTGGTTATGTGTAAGAATTAATTTTGAAAACTGGGTATTGCCAGAGCAGAGAGGCTTACTGTTTTCGATTTTAGAACTGCCAAGGAAGAATAATTCAAAGTTTTTCAAAGCATGGTTCCATGATCCAGATATCTTATTTGTCCATTTCAAATCAAATATTTATAAAACTGAAAATAAAACCAAACTCACCCAGATTTATCCTTTTTGTCAAACTCGCTCAACACACACACACAGACATACACAAAAAATCCCCAGCTTCTCACTTCAATTAACCCCCCTCCCCTTAAAAAAAAGAATTAGAATCAAAATTTAAAAAACACCAAACAAACTCTTCTTTAGAAAGGTAGTACATTACCATTAATTTAACATACAAAGCATATCAACTGTACCTGTATAAAAAAGAGCTTGGGTTTTCCACCTAACGATGGGCAGTTGTTTCCTTTGAAGGGCAAAACCAGCTCATCAATGGGGACCTTGTCGTCCTGTCCAAAGACATATCCCTCCTTCCCGTGGCTCAGAATCACACAAACAAAACAGTCGTTCTGGGTGTGGTCCTCCTTTGACACTGAGGGAGAAACAAATTGTGATGACAGCAACAGATTAGTGACAGCACCAGTAATCAATTCATTAAAAAATTTCGTCTTTAAATGTATATGTTTTTATGCCCCTATCAACACAATTTAGAATATTTGGGAGGCGGGCTTCTAACCCTTACCTGTCAGGGTCAACCCACGCTGAGAGGGATACAGCATCCCAGACATCTTTTTGTTGTTTTAAATAGTGTTTTAAGACATTTGAAACACAAGTATAAAAGTGCAGAAGATTGGGTGTTATTTTAGAGTACCATAAAAATAAAAAAAGGAGGAGAGATTTAACAAGAACAATAGATCTAGATGTTTGATAGGAAAGAAGGAGAAGCCCATACCAGAGCACTTAACAAACACCATGAGAACAGATTGAGGTCAGAACAATGGATTAGTGAGGGCAACAGATTTCTCAGGAAAGATGATCCATTTCTAAACTTCTCTTGAACTTCAACTCCTGTTCTCGAAATTTTATACTAATAATAGACCTTGACATACGTTTAACAGTTTAATTTTTAATATCGAAAACACCAGATTATTAAATGTCATTCAAGATGATATACAGTCGAAACGATCCAAGGCAGCCACCCATTGTTGAGGAGAAAAGTATCCCTATTAGGGAGGTGGCCATCTTACACAGTGTCATTATTGAGCAAAAAATACGCAAAGGAGGAAATATAAGAAGTGGCCATTTGTACAGGTGATTGTCTTATCCTAGATGGCCGTTAGAGTAGGTTCGACGTTTTATATTTTTACTTCGTTCTACCCACAGGGAGAACGAGGCAGGGGCAGGCCACGGGAAACATGGAGGAGATGTGTGGAAAGGGACATGAGAGAGTTGAAGCTCACTTGGAACGAGCTTGGAAGGATGGCCCAGGACAGAGATAAACGGAACGAGCTTTTATGTGACCTATACCATGCCAGGGGCGGAAGGCATTGATAATGACTGCTACTGTATGGTTTATATACTCTTGATCAAACATTCCTTCAGAAAAACAATGTGCGATGCCTTACAAGAGTACATGTGAAGATCACACATTTTAATCTCTTTGACTTATAGGATATTGATATTACATTTTCTAAACTGGCCGTAAAAAGGTACAGGTGTAGATCACACATTTTAATCCCTCTGATCTAAAGGGAACATATTGAGATTACAATAAGAACATTTTCTAAACTGAGTTTTGGCAGTGGCACCTTATTTTATCAACCCTGATTACCCTTTGAGTGTCCAATTGGTTTGGTATTCACAACAGAACCTGCTAAAAGACACCTACATGACCAAGCTATAAAAATAAACATAAAAAACGCACTACAATTCAAATCTTTGACACTATCTTGTAAAGTGAGTGGTGTACTTGAGCTAATGTTCTTCTAGTCAGTACCTATTTGGTCATGTTTTCATTGAAAAAGCCTCACATGATATCTCTTTTTACGTTGTTTGCCACAATATAAGTGAAGGAAAAAAGTTACTCCGGCCCAGATCTCCTTTTGAGAATGGCTTGTATACATACAAATATGTTTATGAAGTGGTCTCTATCTAAAAACGCAGTCATCAGGAGACAAAAAAAGTATATTCTTTGATGGGCCAGATTCTCTGTCAAACCCCATTCTTAGGTAGAGAGTGCTGTAGATTATTTTCTAATTTCTAAAATGAAGCATAGCATCACATCAGCCAAGAAAGCAGGAATGTCCAACCTTGCTGCATTTCTTGTCTCATTTCCTTAACAGTTGAGTCATGGAAAGTCCTGATATCATCAAAGCCCATTGTACTGAGGAGGTTATACATGTTCTCACAGTCTACATCTGTGCCCTGCCGATCGCCCATCTGTAGGCGTCTGTGGAAGACTTTGTTGTTGAATATGACAGCGATGCCGCGGTTCTTGTGCTTCATGTTATACATATCGGCCACAAAGTCAGACTCCTTCTGTGCCGCCGCCCCCACGCGACTCCCACCGCTGTGAAGAAACAAAAGTCTTATCAAAATCAATGACAAATACATGTTCGTTTGATGAAAGAGAAGCATATCGACACAAAAAACACCAGTAAGAGCTGGGAAAAAGAAAAAGAAAAAAAGACCAGAGAAAGAAACAACAGGGTGATCGAAAAGGAGTAGGACCTACTGTAGACATCCCAAAAATAAAAAATTCAAGCCATTCAAGGAACTTGATCAAAACAGAAATATATTGCAAAAGAAACAAGGCAGAGTACTCTATTGATTAGCACCAGTAACATGGTGCATTAGTTCAAACAAATTCTTCTTATATTGCTATTTTCTATGCAAGAATAGGCTTACATGATTTTGCATATATTTGTACACATCATCATTGCCTTTCTCACCCTGCACCAGGGTATAGGCCATGGACAAACACTTTCCACATTTCTCTATTGTGGGCTAGCCTCTTGATGTTATTCCATGTCCTCCCAGTTTTCTGTACATACATTTCAGTGATTCTTCTCCATGTTCCACAAGGTCTTCCCCTTGATCTTTTACAATGCGGATTCCAATCCAACACTTTTTTTGTTTTGCAGCTGCCTGACTTCCTGAGAGTATGTCCAATCCATCGTCACTGCCTTCTTCCTACCTCATCTATGACTAGGATCTGTCTTGTTTTCCTTAACACTTCCTTGTTGGTGACCCTGTCTGTCCATCTCATCCTCAGTAAATTTTTAGATACTTGTTCAAGAAAACTGGATCCTCTTTTATGCAAGTCTGTGATGCGTTCCATGTCTCACATCCGTACAACAAGACTGACTTCACATTTGAATTAAAAATCCTCAGTTTTGTTTTAAGTGAGATATCTGGTCTTACAAATCCTATTCAAAGATATGAAAGCAGTCTGTGCTTTTCCAATGCGCGACTTTACTTCAACACCTGTTTCTCCCTCTCTGTCAATTATACTCCCAAGATAGCAGAAGTATACAACATCTTCTAGAGCATTTCCATCTATTGTAACCTGCTTCTTTCCTTGTGCATCTCTCCTTAGGACCTTTGATTTTCCGGGGTCAGCTGTATACCATTTCTATGTCCTCTGGTGGTTTCTTTCATCAGCCAATCAACTGCCAATACGAAGAGGATTTGTACACATGTGGACAGGTTATTGGGCAAAAAACCTTTCATATGTAGGATGAATTAAGTGCATATTACTTTTAAATCCTTTATTCAACGCAAAGAAGACACAATAGAGTTGGACTTTAAGCACAGAACACGGCGCACCGGCAGTGGAATTTTAGTTGCTGAAGGGGGTTCCCCGCCGGGCGCCTTATCACGTCGGGGTCACGGGGGTCAGCTCCCTGTCGCCGCTCTATCTGGGCCGACCTAATTTTTGGTACTTTTCAACGTACAATTTAAGGTGTATCCTTGTATTTATGGTAATTCTCATTTAGTGCACCCAAAGCACGCATTTATGCTCTTGAGACTTAAAAAAAGAACGGACGTTGTAACTTGTCTGGTTATTTCGTTAGACGCGCTGGAGTCGGCAATGCTAAATGGTAATTTTTTTTGGACCAGCATGAATGAAAAAAAAACAATATAAAAAAAGGCATTGTCAAAATCTGTCAAACTTTTGGAACATGAACGACATAACATTGGTGCAGATACTCAGAAAAGATGGTATCTGCGCATATAATAGAAGGCTGTAATTTTACAATTTTATCCATCCGGCACACAATTCGCTATGAAGTAATTCCTCCAAATACAACTTTATGTGTCTAATATAATCGTGAATATTCGCATATTTTCTCGAAAGTTTATAAAAGTTACCATGAAGTTTCTCTATGAAAAGTACAAATCGATTTTAGTGCTAGAATACATCTTCAACGTAGATCTAATACACGAACAATATCTGTTACACTCTAGAAATTCCTTAGTTTTCTCAAAATGCTAAGTCTAGGTATTGTAAGTTGACTAAATAATAGGGATGACTTCTCATAATTGGGTTATAAGAATAATTTCTAGCTTTCCAGGGACACTGAATCAGCACCAGACTCTTCCAGCTTTTTTTTCGTTTTATCACCATTTGCAATAACTGACAATGTGACTGATTTCTTTACATTCATAATTGTGTCAGCGCATATTTCCTACACAAAAACTAAGAATGAATGTTTTAGCTGTCATTATTTTTATTCCATACAAGAAGTTTATCTCTACCCATGTATTTACACGGTTTTGTGGGTTTTTTAAATCGCTTATATTATATCTTTTTAGTTGTATGCAGGCTGCCACAGATACAGCATGATTCATGAACAAATGCAGAGTAACTTTCTCTTGTTTAATAGTAAAATAAGAGCTAACGCTGATCGTCTTTAAGTTAAAAAATGCAGATGTGCATCTTTCTTCTCTTATAACTTGAATATAACTACTCACGCAGAATTAATATTTCTCATGGTAAAAGACATGATATTCGTAGTCAGTCTAACACAGATTTTGGAGATCTGTCGAGCCTTTTTTAAATTAACAATCATTTATTCATAAGTTTGTAACTAAAATAGGACAAATTGGGTACTCTGACAAACACTTGTCTAGAACAAAAACTAAGGCACAGAAACTAACCATTCTAACGCAGAATAAATCTCAAGACATTGAGCTTTTAGTACATCCGCGTAATGGTTTGCTATGTGGGATGGAGAAGAAGTTATATCGTTTTAAACATAGTCAAAAATGCGAACTTCCTGACTCACACCGGCAAAGTCGCTTCAGGGCTCATTAACCCCGTGACCCCGAGCCGGGGAGCTCCGGCGGGCTGCTGAGTCACGCGAACTAAAACAGAATCGGGCGAAAAGTGACGCCGTGAGAAACAAACAAAAGATCAAGTTGAGAAGATTACACTTTTCCAAGCACACAATTTAGATCCTTTAGGAGTTGGGCTGTTTCAACAGAGCCTGCCAGGGTCAACCCACAAGGTTAGAGACCAAATATAATTACTTCATCCCAGCTGAAAGAGAAACACTCAATATATAAATCTTTTCCACAGGAGAACAGATGCACGTAGGCAATAGCAAAGAGCCTAACCCCATTAAACCATAGACATCGGTCCACTTACCCTGGCTGGCCACGAGCATCCACCACATCAGACTCGGTAGGCTCACCGAGAGCGTCAACTGTGTCTGTTGATATATATGTGAAGAATTGTAAATATTCTGGCACAACAAATGTTAAAAATACAAGACACAAGAGCACATCACATATTGCACAGTGAAGACCAGCAAAGGCATATCAGTGAAATTGTTCTGTATAGGTGTAATATTGCGTATTTATGTATGTATTTTTATGTACCATCATGTAATTAAATGTATTGGTGTATCAATTCATCAATAAAATGTAATTCATTCATTCATTCTTATTATAATGATTTTTTAATTTAAACTACTTTAAGTTGGATGAAATGAGTATCGTCAAGAAAGACCACGAGAAGAACTCTTAAATGTCAAGTCAGTGTATCAATTTTCATTGTTTGTTTTGTTTTTGTAAGTGTTTTTTACGGCGCTCGCAACTGCATAAGGTCATATGAGCGCGCGGGACACATTAAACCTTTTGGCTCATTCCATGTTACGTGTGTTACATCTGAGCTCTACTTTCAAGTCTTTCAAAGAGCTTAGTGACAAGACCATGGGTGTCAGGAATAAAAGTATTGTTCCTTGAGAAAGACATAAAGTCAGTTTGAACTGTTGTACCTTTACAAGTCATTTAGGAAGGAACTTTTTGACTAACATGATGGTGAAGTGGCCGTTACGTGTGTTACGTGAAGAAAATGCTTCATTCTACTTTTCTGAAGACAGTCCCAAATTTCTTCAAAGTTGACGGGCGGAGTCAAGACAATTTTTTATACACTCTTTGTAAATGGATGCTGAGCATTTTCCTAGCTTTAGAAAGAAAACAGAATGAAACATCATGAAATATGGTCAAAAGTAAACGTTACGTGTGTTACATTTTTTTTGTTTCGTGTGTTACATCTTCAAATCAGAAATTTCACTTGGCATGTAGAGCCAAATTTAAAAAAATATTTGGTCACTTTTTGCAAAAGTAGTGTGGCTGACAAGGAAACAAGTATTGGTGATACCTCAAGCTGTGTAAAAAAGGTAAATATTTTAGATTAATTCAATATTTGTGTTTCATTGTATATTTCATACTATAATTTTCTGTAACCGACATTGATATCAATCAAAGATGATAAACTAGTGCATTGGAATTCAAAGATCATCTCATTAAGACTTAATTTAAAATATTTATTAACGACCTCTTGCCAATACTGGTGTATAGTTCGGGGAAAACAAACAAAACAATTTAACAAATATTTCTGTAAGTACCTCAGAACATGGGGCATACTGTACTATGCTCGTGGAATTCAAATTCATGCCAGAACAACAAGATTAAATGCAGTTTGAAAGTAAAATTCACCTATTAAAAGAGACAGACATTTAGCCTAATTCCCTGTCAAATTTAACTTTTGTTTTCATTTCCTTCCTCAGCTATTCGTCCACCCAAAAGACTAAAAAAGCAGCGTGCAAAGATGACACAACAGATGACCCATCTTACACTACCAAAGAAAGTAGAAGAGAGGAGAGAATAAAAAAAAAACATGTTGGAATGATAGAATCTGACAGGAAGGAATACAGAAAGTATGTTTCTGAATGGTTACAAAGCATCGGCTGAAGAAGAAGGAACGTAGCGCCAACACCAACCATGCTGAAGCTGCAACACTAGCCAGAGAAGGATACAACAACAAGCAGGCTTTTTGTCAAAGGCTGTGAATAAAGCACCCTTTTCTTTCCTTGGATCATCATCAAAGAAAATGTCAACTTTTAGTGGTGTGGTTACATATCAGTGCAGATATGAAGACATTCATGATGGAAATGTAGATCTGCAGCTCATGCCAAATACTTCTCACAAAATGAGATTGACACTATATGAGGACCCCTGGCAAAATATAGAGATAATATAGAAGTTTCTGGAGTCAAGAAAGGGTACAGAATGATTTGGGAACCTTGCAGAGAAGTTACCATGCATTCACACGACAGATAAGATGTCTAGTACAATGTGTACTCTTTAGAGGGGTTTAGGAATGCAAGTGATCCATCTCGAAGTGATGACTATGTGGTAAGTATTTGGGATTGGATGCTTGTGAGATGTGATGAGAAAAAATACCATGAGGAAGTGACAGGAAAGGGGACAAGAGGGTTATGTTGAATGTCATGTCACATTTTACAGGAAAATGGAAGTGGCTTGGAATGAGAGATGAGATTTACCGAGCTATTGAATCATATAATGTCATAAAGGAGATCACTACACCAAAACTCATTTTGTCCCCTGGTCAGTTAAAATTTCAGCTTCAAACATCAATTTGTTCCATTGTGATATGTTTCAGTATGGTAATTTGCTTTTCTTTGCCTATTTCTATCATTACTTTTGAAGATTTGCTTGTTTTGTAAGAATGTAACACACGTAACTTTTGATGTAACACACGTAACGTTTCATGTGTTACACGACTTCCACCCCATTCTACGAGATTCAGGAACTTATTTCACAAGAACTGATATACTGAGTTATTTCCTACCGTCAACTTCACACGTTCATGGAAGCATTTGATTACAGCACTTTTTTTTTAATGTGTGGGAAAACTTCTGTATGTTTTGTGTTTCGTGTGTTACATTTTCACGAGAGGTGGACATTCTCTCTAATGTGGTGATAACATATGCATTTAACCAGGAATTGTTTTTGCATTCCAGTAAAGTACATGCTAGGAGAGTACACAAACATAAAGATAACAGGATTATTTTATTCTATCATTGAAACAAAAAATT